AGATTCAATGTGACTGGATTTATGTTGAGGTCTTTGATCCCTTTGGACTTAAGTTTTGTGCATGACAATAGACGTGGATCTATCTGTAGTGTTTTACATGCCAGCATTCAGTTATGTTATGCCAGCACCATTTGTTGAAGATGCTTTCTTTTTTCCATTGTATAATTTTAGCTTCTTTGTCAAAAATCAAGTGTTTGTGGGTATGTGGGTTAATATCAGGGTTTTAAATTCGATTCCATTTGTCTACCTGTCTATTCTTGTGCCAATACCAAGCTGTTTTCAGGACTGTAGCTCTATAATAGAGCTTGCAGTCAGGGATGGTGATGCCTCTGAAAGTTCCTTTATTGTACAGGGTTGTTTTGGCTATCCTGGGTCTTTTGTTTTCCCATATAAAGCTGATCATTGTTCTTTCAAGGTCTGTGAAGAATTGTGCTGGTATTTTGATGGAGATTGCATTGAATCTGTAGATTGCTTGTGGCAAGATTGTCATTTTTACTATGTTGATCCTACCTATCCAAGAGCATGGTTGACCTGCTGTTGGTTCTTTTGGAGTGCCTGGATCTGTGTGACTTGAGGCAGGTGTTCATTAGAGGTCCAATGCATGTGTGAGTCGCCAGCCCTTTACTTTCTCTTCTGTCCCCCACACTGACTTTCCCAGGGCTCCCATATGAGAGGTATTCAACTATAAGGGACAGTGCTGTGGTGGCTCATAGAAAGGGAGGATCTCGTCCCAAACCCCACACAGGCCAAGTGTAACCAAGGCTCCAACTGGTTCTCAGTTTAGCTTCATGAAACTGTCCCGTTCTGTCCCTTGCTCAGTGTTTACATTCACAGCTCCATGACAAAGCTCTGGGATTCTGGAAACCCATAAGGGGGAGCTTTGGGTGGTAAATAGTTCACAGCAAGCAGGTCACTTATGTCCCTATCCTTGCTTTTGAGGTTTATGAGATTCAGTTATTGCCAATGATTCATGCTGATAGAGGCAGCAGCTCAAACTGACAACCATGCTTGGCTGCCTAGCCCTGAGACTAACTGGAGAAGACACCTTCCACCTCCAGGGAAGGCCAAGCCCACCCATAATGACAGGTGTCATGGATAAAGCTGGTAGATTAAGAGACAGAGTTTAGGCATCCCATCATTTGCTGTTTGATCAGATTGACCAATATAGGACAAGTGTTTCTATAACAGGTATACCACAGGGACAAGTAGTGATGAAACATTAACATTTAAAAAGTTAAAGGCCACTTGCATCCTGAGCAGAGAGCACCGTGGGGAGGGGTGCAGGTGGGGAAAGATCCAGGGCCATTTGCTGCATCAGAATCATGGAAAGAGCTGGTGAGGTACAGAGTCTTGGTCTGATAGGTTTATTTACTTTTCTGTGGCTGTGATAAAATACCCTGGCACAATCAACTTAAAGGAAAAAGGTTTGTTCTGGTTACAGTCAAGAAGGGTGCGTTCCCTCATGGAGAAGCCATGGTGGTGAGGTCAGGAAGCTGGCTGGTCACGTGCATCCACACTCAGGAAGCACAGCATGGGATCAGGCTGTAAGTCTCAAGGTCATCCTACTGATTCACTTCCTTTAATGAGACTCCACAACCTTCCCACACAGAGACACTAACTGGAGGTTCGAACACAAGGGCCTGTGGGGTACACTTCACACTCATACAACAACCTGACTCCAGCAATGCTAAATCCTAACCTCTAGGATGAATTCTTTCATTTATTTATTTTATTTTATTTTATTGTTTTTCGAGACAGGGTTTCTCTCTGGCTTTGGAGGCTGTCCTGGAACTCTCTTGGTAGTCCAGGCTGGTCTCAAACTCACAGAGATCCTCCTGCCTCTGCCTCCCAAGTGCTGGGATTAAAGGCGTGCGCCACCAACGCCCGGCTCTTTCATTTATTTATTTATGTTTTTCAAGACAGGATTTCTCTGAATAGCCTTGGATGTTCTGGAACGCACTCTGTAGATCTGGTTAGCCTTGAACTCAGAGATCCACATGCCTCTACTTCCTAAGTGCTGGGCTTAAAGGTATGTGCCACCACCATCTGGCTCTTTCATTTCTTACGAACTCTAGTCCAACATCTTGACATCCAATATCTTTGAGGAAAGGCTACATAATACAACCTGGGACAAGACAAGGAAGAGCCAGTCTACAAGTGGGGACCATTTTCATCCTAGGCAGCTGAGAATTTGTACAATGACTTGTGCACAGTATGACTCTTGAGTAGTGGCTTCAGCAGTGTGTGTTACATTTGTGCATTCCATATATGTCTGCCATGTATTTTTAGACAAGATAACGTGTTCTCTAGCTTCTTTTGATGTGTAGACTGGGAAAGAAACCTCAGTGTGTGCAGTAATAATTTCCAAGTGATAATCTTAATGAAATTCCATACTCTTAGCAGTCCAAAAATTACTTTAATCTTCCCTTGACCCTTGTATGGGCTGAAGTAGGACAATTTGATTGCATTTGATATTAAAGGGAACTCCCAAGCTAGGAAAAAAAAGGAACTTAATGAAATTGAAAAAGAGGCAGAGACCGAGGTATCTCTGGGGATGCTGGAGGATGATGTTTAATTTTCCTTTAAAGAATGAGGTCTTTGGGCTAGGGGGATGGCCCGGTGGGCAGGGGAACTTGTGCTGCATGATGAGGCTCTGGGTTCCAATCCCCAGCATTCAAATACAAAGCCAAATGTGTGTGTGTGTGTGTGTGTGTGTGTGTGTGTGTGTGTGTGTTTTCCTGTAACTCCAGCATTGGGGAGCGGAGACAGGAGAGGAACAGGAGGATCCCAAGTGCTTGTTGGTCAACCAGCCTGGCTGGAACAGAGAGCTTCCAGTTTGGTGAGTGACTCTGTATCTAGGAAATATTGCTCTGGCCTTGACATCTTGCTCTGACTTCCATAAGCTTGTGCACAGACTCATGTGCCCACTTACTTATGCAAATTCACCACACACATAACTAATGCAAACACACACACACACACACACACATACACACGTTCCATGATATAGGACTCTGGGAGCTTGAGGAAGAATTCCCCAGGATAACTCACCCCTGCCCCCATCTTTCTTGGTTCTGAGGATTGAAAACTGGGCCTCCTGCATTCTAGGCAAGCATGTTACCAGTGTGCTGTACTCTGTAGTCAATGTCTGTGCTTCTTTATTCACTAAACGAACCTCCTCCCACCCCAGAACGGACCTTAGTTTTTCTGCAGTGGATATTCAAGGTCCTAGTAACATGGACAAATAAACAAAGCTGAATTCTAGGATACAGAACTGGCCTTCGCTGGAATGGGCACTCTTGGAGACATAGTGCGGTTTCTCCTGTTCACTGTGATCCACAGCATTGAGATCGGTGTCTGGCAAATAGGGGAGGTTCAAGAAACATCTGTGGGATGGCTATCTTGAGATCCCTCAAGGCAAAGCTAAGTAGAGACCTTCATCTCAAGATGCACATCTGTGAATTCAGTGAGACTCACACAGCTTCTTGGACAGATAGCTGCTGAGTGTGCTGTGGTCGCTGCCAGTCTAGAGTTGGCAGGGACGGTGCCTTCTGGAGGCACTGAGGGAAAAAATCTACCCTGTGATTCTTTCCTAGCTGCTAATGGCTGCCAGGGTTCCATGGCACTCCTTGGCACATAGACACACCACTCCTAGCTTTACATCTATCTCCATATGGTCATACATACATACACACACACACACACACACACACACACACACACATATATATATATATTTGTTTTGTCCTTCTCTCCCCTTTCCCCTTCTCTCCCTCCTTGTTCCTCTCCTCTTTCCCTTCTTCCTCCTCTTCCTCTTGTACTGGGGTTTGAAACCAGAGCCTTCTGGACTCTAGGCAAGCACTTTACCAGTGTGCTATAGACTGTAGCTTCTTTTCTTCTCATAGGCCTTTGTCATATGGGCTAAGGAGATGGCTCAGTGGATAAAGGGCTTGCTGTGCAAGCATGAAGACTTGAGTTCAGATCCTCAACACCCATGTAAAAGGCTGGGCATGGTGGCAAGTGCCTATGTTGCTGAGGGACAGAGAGGTGGTTCTCTGGCCAGCAAGTTTAGCCAAAATGGTAAGCTCCAGGTTTAATGGAAGACCCTGTCTCTAAATATAAGATGGTTCAGCACATAAAAAGCTTGCCAAGCTCAACATCCTGAGTTTGATTCCAGGGCCTACATGATAAGAGGAGAGAACCAGTTCTTACAAATTGTACTCTGACCTACACACACACACACACACACACACACACACACACACACACACACTTAAAAAGAGACCATTGTCATTGATTTAAGACCTACCCAGATAATTAGCACAATCTAATCTTTTGCTCTGTACTCTAATCACATTTTGAAAGACCCACATTTCCCCCAAATTCATAATCAGTCACAGGTGAACAGATCTATTTGTGGGGAGGGTACAAGTCAACCCCAGTGCTACTATCCAAGATGCCCCCAAGGATCCCTTCCTCAGCTCTTTGACTCAAATACTGATCTGTATATCATCTTCTGTGTCCCAAACAGTCCTGCAGAAAGGTTCATGCAGTGGACACAAAAGCATGTGGCCCAACATGGCAGAGATACATGTAGGCAGCTCCTACAGCTGAGGCTCTGAACCAGGGCCCCCACTAAGCAGCTCCCAAGCCCTGCACGGAGAGACTGGGAGTGGTAAATGGTTGATGTTTTGAACCATCACATTTGTCATGATGCAATAGGTTATAAACGAAGACTTTTGGACTCAGTGGTAGAAACATCTACAAATGTAGGGGTGATTTTGGAATTGCACAGTGAGAAGATGCTGAGAACATCTTGTGGGAGGATAATTGTCCCAGAGAAGTTCCTTGAGGAAGAATGGGATCCATGTGGAGTCTGGGTGCAGGGGCAAGGAAGGGAGGGAGAGGGGTATGAAGAAATGGAGGGATGGGGAGAGAAAAAAGGAGGAAGGGAGGGAAGAATGGAGGAAAGAAAAGGGGAAGGAGGGAAGACGGTGATGGAAGGGAGAAGGAGAGAGGGGAGAATGCAGGAAGAGAGGAATAGGGAGAGAGGGAGGTTGCATGGAATCTGTGTAATGCATTGGCAGGCATTTTAGCTCTTAAACATGAAGAATTGGGAATTTGATAGATTTGAAAATTCTAAGTATCTCCAGATGTAAGCAACACTGAAAGCAAGAAATGCATCTAAGGAAGTTCAAACCCAGGGTGCTGAGTCCCACCCTGCCCTGTGCCTTCTGGGAGAAAACAGTTTAGGGTATGATAGCCAGATAACTTATTAAGACTTCAGGCAGACATCCAAGGAGAGTCCTGCCAATCAGTCTTCTCCCCTCTGAAGTCTCAAGAGTGTGACTCACAAATCAAACAATAAGGCATCCGGAAGGCTAAGTGTGGCTGTACCTGCTTGTACTCCTAGCTTTCCAGACACTGAGACGTGAAGACCAGGAGCTGGAGGCCGGCATGATGAGCTACAGTGAGACCCTGTCTAGAAAAACTAAATGAACAGATATTTTTAAATGACAAGGCTTCTTAGAGGCTCTTGTTGTCTCTCACTAGAAGCTCACGATAGGAGTTTATCTCCATGAGACTTCTCTGCAGAAAAGAAAACCCCAAGGACTCACAAGACATCCAGGAAACTTCAAAGAACTTCAGCCGTAAGAGCAGTGCTCCATCGTAGCAGGATAGATGAGGGAAGAAATGAAAAGGAATGGTTTTGCTCTCTGACTTTTTACAGAAAGCTGAACAAGAAAACTGCCAATCGGCGCCGGTGTGGCCTCTCACAGAAATGGAATGGTGACTCACGGTGCTTACAGGGTGCAGCCCTGCTTCTTGAGAGGAGTAAGACTGGGTCTTAAGGGGCCTACTTTTGTCATCTAGGCTGTATCATCACTGGTCAGTGATTTCTGTCTCCCATTCACCTCTTTTGAGCAGTAGTGACTGCAGGTGCTTTTCCATGCCGCTCTCAGGGTTGTTTGTTGCCTGTGTCAGGAACAGGAGAACTTGTCTCCGCAGTTCTTCAGTCTAAGATGGAGAAGGAATGCATTGAAGCTGTCATATTTAGGTACCACAGGAGCATCGTCTACAACTGGCTCTGACTTAGGTGATGAGATTCTGGACTTGAAGCTGGTGATGAAGTAGGGCAAGACTTTAGGGATGACAGGATGGAGTAAGTGCAGCATACATGCAGGAGCCACGTAGATAAGCAGAAACAAGGGCAGACTATAATAGCCAGCTTCTTATGTTAATATCCATCTTCCAGCATTAGCATCTTTGCATAGTTACAGTGTACAAATACGTCAGAAGGAGACATCTTGAACTCATCAATGGAATATGAAAAAGCCTTCCATAAGCAACGGCAGAGGCTATGCAGGAAGCAGAAGGACATCCATATCCGTTTCTTCAGAGCGCTACAGAGGTCATATCTGAAGAGTTAATGGCTGAAATGTTTCTGGAACTGATGGAAGATAGCAGTCTACAGACCCCTCCCAAAGCCTGAACAATAATCTTAAACAAATAAAAACCAATATATCATATCCCTAGGCATTTCATAATACAAAAGCCACTGAAAAAGAAAAATAATCTTTGGAATCAGCCAAGGGGGAAGACAAGTGACCTGCGAAGGCATGGCAGATGTGGGTGGCTCTCCAGAAATACCAGAGTGGGAGAATCTCTGAATTACTCCTGTAAGGTGTGCAGTGAAACACAAATGTCCCTGGAATTGCATCTCCTGTGAAATGATTGTTTGGAATCATAAAACAAAATCATCCAAGCAAAACTTTGAAAAAGGACAAATGGACTCAGTTGGTTTTTTTTTAAATAGTTTTATATGTAATAGGAAATACTGGAAATAATGCAAAGTCTGTCAACTGTAAAAGGAGCCACAGCACATTGCATCATGGAGGGTTATGCAGCAATAAGGACTGGGGAATGCCTGTGCATTGTTCTGTAGGAGTTCTGAGGCATGTTAACTCTAAACGGCACATAGGCTATGCTCACTTTCATCTGAAGTCATGAGCGGGATCAAACCTTAATGTTTTAAGAAAAAATCTAGATATGAAAATAGTGAGAAGGAAGGGTGTATAGATGTCAGATTATCTGAATAGATTTGTGCAATTGCCTTTGGAACATAATTACAAAACTGAATACGTTTAAACATTTATTTAATTTAATGTATATGTGTGTGTGCCTAGGTGTATGTATGTGCACAATATACATTCAAAGACTGGAGTCTGTAAGGGCATTGGATCCCCAAAACTGGAGTTACAGATGGTTGCGAGCTACCCGGCGGGTAGTGGGAATGAAACCTGGGTTCTCTGCAAGAGCTGTACATCCTTCTAGCTGCTAAGACATCTCTCTAGTCTCCAAAACTAAATTAAAATTTAGAATGAATCCTTAGAATTAAAAGTGAAATAAACACACCCAACTTTATATCAAGTTGGTACTATATAAGCACAGTGAGGTTTTATTTCACGTGCATACCTCACAAGAAGGAATTATTTCATGTGCATACCTCACAGTGAGGAATTATTTCATGCGAATACGTCACAGTAAGGAATTATTTCAGGTGCATACCACACGGTGAGGATTTATTTCACAATAATACCTCATAGTGAGGATTTATTTCATGCCTATACCTCACAGATAAGAATTATTTCACATACATACCTCACAGTGAGGAATTAATTCATGCGCATGCTTCACAGTGAGGAATTATTTCACATGCACCCTGCACAGTGATGAATTATTTCACATGCATACCTCACAGTGAGGATTTATTTCATGTGCATACCTCACAGTGATGAATTATTTCATATGCATACCTTACAGTGAGGATTTATTTCACATGCATACCTCACAGTGAAGAATTTTTTAATGCCTATACCTCACAATGAGGAACTATTTCACGTACATACGTAACAGTCAGAAATTATTTCATGCACATATCTCACAGTGAGGATTTATTTCACATGCACCTTTCACAGTTATGAATTATTTCACATGCATACCACACGGTGAGGATTTATTTCACATGTGTATCTCACAGTGAGGATTTATTTCACATGCATACTTCACAGTGAAGAATTATTTCATGCCTATACCTCACAGTGAAGATTTATTTAATGCCTATATGCCACAATGAGGAATTATTTAATGTGCATACCTCACAGTGAGGAATTATTTCACGTGCATACCTCACAGTGAAGAATTATTTCACACGCATTCCACACAGTCAGGAATTATTTCATGCACATACGTCATATTAAGGAATTATTTCATGTGCATACGTCACAATGAGGAATCATTTCATGTGCATATCTCACACTGAGGAATTATTGCATGAGCACACTGCACAGTGAGGAATTATTTCATGCCTATACCCCACAGTGATGAATTATTTCACATGCATACCTCACAGTGGGGATTTATTTCATGTGCATATGTCACAGTGAGGAATTATTTAATGTGAATATCTGACAATGATGAATTATTCAATGTGCATACCTCACGGTGAGGAATTATTTCACATTCATATCTCACAGTGAGGATTCATTTCCTATGAAACCTCACAGTAAGGAATTATTTCATGTGCATACCTCACAGTGAAGATTTATTTCATTTGCATACCTCACAGTTAGGAATAATTTCATGCCTCTACCTCACAGTGAGGAATTATTACATGTGCATACATCACAATGAGTAATTATTTCATGTGCGTATCTCACAATGAGCAATTATTTAACGTGCATCCGTCACAGTGAGGAATTATTTCATGTGCATACATCACAATGAGGATTTATTTCACATGCATACCACACACTGAGGAATTATTTCAAGTGCATACCTAACAGTTAGGAATTATTTCACATGCACCCTGCACAGTGATGGATTCTTTCACATGCATACCTCACAGTGAGGATTTATTTGTTGTGTATATCTCACAGTGAGGATTTATTTCACATGCAAACCTCACAATGAGGAATTATATCATGCCTGTACTTCACAGTGAAGCATTATTTCACATGCATAACTCACAGTGAGAAATTATTTCACGTGCATACCTCACGTTGATGAATTATTTCACATGCATACCTCACAGTGAGGATTTATTTCATGCGCATATGCCATAGTCAGGAATTATTTCAAGTGCATGTTTCACAATGATGTGTTGTTTAACGTGCATATCTCTCACAGTGAGGAATTATTTCAAGTGCATACCTCACAGTTAGGAATTATTTCACATGCACCCTGCACAGTGATGGATTCTTTCACATGCATACCTCACAATGAGGAATTATTTCTTGTGCATATCTCACAGTTAGGAATTATTTCATGCCTGTACCTCACAGTGAAGAATTATTTCATGGGCATACCTCACATTGAGGATTTATTTCATGTGTGTACCTCACAGTGGGGAATTATTTCATGTGCATACATCACAATGAGGAATTATTTCATGCCCTTAAGTCACAGTGAGGAATTATTTTACTTGCACCCTGCACAGGGATGAATTATTTCACATCCATACCTCACAATGAGGAATTATTTCTTGTGCATATGCCACAGTGAGGATTTATTTCACATGAATACCTCACAATGAGGAATTATTTCTCATGCATATCTCACAGTGAGGATTTTTTCAAATGCATACCTCACTGTGAGGAATTATTTCATGCCTCTACCTCACAGTGAATAGCTATTTCACGTGCATTCCTCACAGTGAGGAATTATTTCACATGCATACCCACAGTGAAGATTTATTTCATTTGCATACCTCACAGTTAGGAATAATTTCATGCCTCTACCTCACAGTGAGGAATTATTACATGTGCATACATCACAATGAGTAATTATTTCATGTGCGTATCTCACAATGAGCAATTATTTAACGTGCATCCGTCACAGTGAGGAATTATTTCATGTGCGGAGGAATTATTTCATGTGCGTACCTCACAGTGAGGAATTATTTCACATGCATACTTCACAGTAGCTTTTTTCCACACTCTAGGAGGGTTGCAGAGGAATAAAGGGCACCCAAAGCAACGGCATCAGAAATAGGACCACACCAGGACTGTTTCTAGTAATCAAGTTGTCAGTGCTGGAGCCTGGGAGAATTGTAGTATCCTGTGTCCTGAGAGAGTTGCATATATTGTGTTCAGGCGTGGGTCAGGGTGAGCTCAGATGAGGCAGGGAATGCTCGGGGACCTGTTCTTCAGGGAAGCAGTGCCTTATCACAGCCTGTGCCATACTCCTTGGTGTGGGAGAGTGACTGACAGGATTCAGTAAATTTGAATCTGAAGTAACAGCATGGAAGTGTAGTGCTTGTCTTCTCGTGATGAGTATATTTGTAGAAATAAGAATACATTTCCTAGCTCTGAGCACTGAGAAGCCCAAGGACAATGACTAACTCGGCGGTAAGAAACAACCCCAGCTCCCACACTGTGGTCTTTAAATACTATTTACCACTACCAGTTTCCATGGGAATTTGTAGAAGTGTGTGGGTGAGACTGGGACAGCGTCTCTCTCCAGAGAGCTATGAAGTACCAGGAGAGTCAGTCAGAAGGACTCAAGGGCAGCTTGCGTAAGCCCCTCTGGTCATGCTGAAACACATCAGATAAGCTCAGTTCCACAAACTCATAAGGACACTAGGAAGCCACCTCTGGAAGGCACCAAGCAATGAACCCGAAAATGCAAAAAGGGAAACAATCAGTTCTGCCTCTGTGTAAACCATGCTTCAGGGCCAGCAAACGATTTGGTGAGGAAAAGTTTCCCTTCATAGAAGATTTGTGCCCCTGTTTTTATTGAGACAGTCTTGCTATGTAGACAGGGTTGAACTTGTGATCCAGCTATATCAGCCTCTTGAGGGTTGGGATCACAACAGTGTGCTTTCTGATAATGCCCAGCTCTTCACAAAAGTTTTCCAGTTCTATGTCAGAATCAGAACATGACCATTCCCAACCGCTAATGAATTCATGGGTCTTGTCAATGGCCTTCAGTCCAGGTTTGTATCACCCAGAGAACAGGAGGAAGACCAAATGTGCTTCCTGATGGAAAACCCATTTCTTTTGCAATAGTCTTGTCAAAGAATCAGACCTGAATTTGATCTATAAATCCATCAGCAGGTTTATAGAAAACAGATACCACAAGTGGGGGATACAGATAGCAAAACCCTGACTGGTGCTTTAATAATGATAGCAACAAATGCAAAGGGGGAAATTAGAAAAGAAAATTTATAGAAACTTAAGCAATAGATTAGCTAGCAGCAATATAGAGAACGTGTTCGTGTCCCAATTCAATCAAGTAAGTCCTAAGAAAAGCGATGACAGTTGGGGAAACGTGGACGCTGGCGAGATGCGTGACGATATAATGAGTCATTGCTGTTGTTCCTTTTTTCCTGGTATATGCCTCAGTCTTGTTTAAAGACAGAGTCCTTATCTTTAAAGAGATAGTACTATTGGCAGGTGAAATGGAATGACAGCTTGGCATTTGCTGAGCAGTTCGTCATGAGGGGAGGAGCCATCGGATGCAGAGAACAGTGATGGCTCTGGGTTCAGGTATTTGCTGGAACTTGTAGTATAGGCGGGTGTTCTTTTAGTTTGTTTTCTTAGGTTTATGTGGACATTTGTCATAATAGAAAGCCAGAATGGAAAGAATCAAATAAAAGTTTTCAGACAATCTCTTATACTCAAGGATATTCTACGGAAACCTTAATTCAAAGGGGCATTGTCCTAGGTAGACGATCAGAAAATATAAAAGGAGTGGTGATCTGGGCATGGTTGCACATGCCTGGAATTCTAGCACCTTAGAGGTGGAGGCAGAAAGATCACATCCTCAACTATGTAGTGTGTTTGCATTCAGCTTTGGCTACAGGAGACTCTTGTTTTAAAAAACTAAAACCAAGCAAAGAAAAGGAAATGAAGAAAATGCAAATCCAAATGAACACTGATTATGTAAAAAAGTCATTATAAACTACCTATGAACTCTAAGAATTACAGCACAAACAAGCAAATTCCCTGTAACCAGGGAACTGACAAAGGGGAAGTTTAAATGGCTCAGGTCCTTGTGTGGCCTGACCTAGAATTAGGTATTAAGTTGCACTGGGATCCGGCAAGTTTTGGGTTCATAACACAGCTTCCCGGGGAACAATTTCAAGAATACTCAAAGTACATATGAGTCCAGTGCTAACTATGGGGAGAAAAACTGGAAGATGTGACTAGAGAGATGATCAGCTCTTCAGAGGACTCTCAGTTCAGCTCCCAGCACCCACACGGCAGTTCACAATGGTCTGTTACTCTGGCTCCCAGGAATCCGATGCCCTTTTCTGGTCTCTGTGGATACCAGACACAAATATGGCACTCACATATGTATGCATGCAAGCGTGCATACATATACAAAAAACAGGAATTGGGAGGAATGGAAGGACACACCTCTCCCTGCAACCAAAGGCAAAAAATAAAAATAATATCAAACTGTATGCTATTTACAAGGCATGAATCTAAAATGCAAAGTTACTTTGAAAGAATGAAAAGCTTGGTGCATGCAAATACTAAATAATAAACTAATAGGGCAGTGATATTAATATTAAATGAAGCAAATTCAAGACAAAAACATAGACAGAAACAGAGGGTTATGAAAAATACTAAACGTTAATAATGTTTAGTGACATTTATGTATGTGGGGGATGCTGTGGATGAGAGTGTACTGGATGACATGTGTGGAACAACTTGTGGAAGGTGGTCCTCTCCTACAGTGTGGGTCCCAGGAATCAAACTCATGGAAGACCAAACAGTAGGCGCTCTTAACCCACTGAACCACCTCACCAGCCCTCAAAGTGCACTAAACGTTTTGATTACTGTGAGAGTCTGTGTATTTCTTCCCCCTGGGTGGGGTTGGGGGGATACAGGGTGGTTGGGACAGCCAGGTGGACCTGGTGGCTGCCAGTCTGGTTGATTTGTTTGCTAGATAGCAGTTATCTGGGTTTTCTGGATATAGGATAAGCTACTTCTGGCCTTCCTCATGTCACATTTCATCATAAGGAGGTTTGTTGTTGTTTCAGTGAGTTAAAGGTGAGGGTGTTGTGTTCTGGACAATCATGTTAGCTCTGTGTTCACAAATTACCTAGCAACAGGTAAGTCACTTTACATGTGTTAACTCACTCAGCCCTCCTAGGGACCCCGTGAGGTGGATTCTATTTTCTGTCCTCATTTTAAGAACTGAAAATCAGGCAAAAGCCAGTGGAGGAACTAGTTCACAGCCCAAGAACCAGAGAGGGAATGGGCAAGATTGGAGCCCAGCCCTGCTGCTGTGCCGACCATTTATATCTCTGAACGAATCTCTCCTATCAGCACATCGGAAAAGACACACTGAAGAGCAGTCAGCTGGAAGACCAAAGGTAATTGGGGGCGGGGGATGAAGACATCTTCATACCAGATACCAGTGTTTACTGAAGATGCAACAATAGTTGAACTTTGTGCTTTGCGGAGTAGGGGGGAGCAGATGGGGTCCAAGTTGAGACCCTAGAAACAGACGCACAAGTGTGAGAGGATTGGATAGATAGACAGGTATTATAGATGGGGCAGGGGGTGGTGGTGGACAGTATACCATGTCCTGTTGGGAAGAAGTGTCTATGCAGATGGAAAAGCACAAATACAAGTTGCTACCTACCTATCACATTTGGTTACATATTCCAGACTGATTTAACCCTTTGAGGGTTTGGGAACTGGTTAAAACACTCACCACACAAGTGTGAGGACTGGTGTCATTTAAAAGCCCGGATAGTTCTACAAGGACTCAGGCTGCCAGGCTACTGCTAAGGAAGAGCAATTGTGTGTGTGTGTGTGTGTGTGTGTGTGTGTGTGTGTGTGTGTGTGTGTGTATGTGTGTGTGTGTGTGTATGTGTGTGTGTGTGTGTACTTGTGGAGGGTAGCAGTGACCTCACACATCATTCCTCAGGTGCCATCCACCTTGCTTTTGAGGTGGAGTCTCACTCACCTGAGCTGCTTAAGCAGGTGACACTGACTGGCCAGTGAGCCCGTGGATACTTCTGTTGCTAGCACGTGCCACCACACCTGGCTTTTCACAGGTGGGTTCTGAGAATGGAACTCAAGTCACTGTGTTTGCAAGGCAAGCAGTTTCCTGACAGAGCTGTCTCCTCAGACCTGTGTCTAAGGATCAGGACCAGCGTGTCTGTGATCACTTTTGTGCCTGCCATATTAGAAGTAGCATATTTGTGAGGTGCAGGACCAGGGTCTGACTTTCATGTTTGAGTCAGGATAGAGAAACCAGCATCCTGACAAAAATGTTCAAGAGAGTGAATCACAGAGGAGGCGTGGTCATGGTGTGAGGACAGGTTTTCTTTGGAGATATTTCCACTCTAAGCACCCATGTCCTGTCCTTTCTGGGGTCAGAAGAACCCAGCATGAGGATTAGTCACTCATGAGCACTTTTGTAAGCCATAAGTGTTAATGCAAGATATTGTGCTCTTTGGTTTATTGCAATTAGATAGTGAGTACATTAAAGATTGACAACAGAATGATCTGATATACGTATACATGATGAAACAGTATATGCTCAAGCAGATTAACCATCTGTCACCACGCATGGGTGCCGTGTGTGTGTGTGTGTGTGTGTGTGTGTGTGTTTGTGCGCGTGTGTGTGAACACATAAGGTGGATCCACTGTGTGAGGGACTCACAGACACACAATGGTTTTATCTGTTGTCATTGTGATGTACGTTAGAAGCCTTGTGTGTTCCATCTGAAAGTTTGGACCTTTGGACCGGCATGGTACCATTTCTCCATTTGCGTTGCATGCTCCTGCTTTAGCTCCACAAGGGCAGACATCTTGGAAAGTTTAGCAGGGCTTGGGAGACTAAGGGTCTGTTATGGTAATGAGAACTGGGCTAACAATCGTCACAGCTCCTTGGCATACACAGTGGAACTCTGTCCCTGACACATTAAATCAAAACCACATTCAGTCTGACTCTCCCCTTCAGGCAATGACCCTGAGTTCCAGTTCCATCCCAAAGAGCTGATCCTTTCCAGCTGGGGTGCTTGGTTCTTCCAGGCAAAGGGCAGGTGTGTCATCTGTAAGTGGCTTCCTGTAGTCAGACCTGGAATGGTGCCTTTCACTCAAGCCGATCTTCACTGGTTGGCAAATATCATATGGTGTTATGGTTTGGGAGAGTCATCAAGGGCTAGAGTCTCTCTCTCTCTGTCTCTGTCTTTCTCTCTGTCTCTGTGTGTGTGTGTGTGTGTGTGTGTGCACATGTGAGAGAGTGTGTGTATGTGTCTTTATGTGTGATTGTATGTATTCATATCTGTGCATGTTTCTGTGTGTGTATCTATGTGTTTGTATGTGTGTGTGTGAGTGTGTGTGTGTCTGTAAATGCGTCTCTGTGTGTGCGTCTATGTGTGTGAGTGTCTGTGTCTATGTGTGAGCACAGATCTTGGATGCCAGTGTGATGGCGTTAAGAGGTGACAGAACCTTTCAGAGTTCAAGTCTAGTAGGAAAGTGCTAAGACATTAAGGTAGCTCTTGTGTGACCCTGAGTTTGTTCTTTCCTGGGGCAGGGGTTAGAAAAAGAGATATCCTGTTCTGCTTTCCTGTCTCACCACTGTGAAGCTGTCCTCCATGGGGTCCTCACCAGAATGGAGCAGAGACCAACATCCTGCTTCCAGATCTCCAGGACTGTAAACTAGGTAAGCCTTTTTTCTTTCAAAGTCATCCAGTCTCTGCTATTTTATTACAGTGTTGGAAAACAGACTAATGTACAAGGAAGGCCACCCCAGAAGACAGGGAAGGCTGAGATGTGCCCAGGAAATGTGTTCAAAGAGCAGGCTATGGTATTGCTTCTGTAATGTTTGAGTATCTCACCTGAGGACCTATCATTTGCTCATGAATAAGCAGTCCTCACACTGGGTCTCTCTGATGCCAGCAGCAATAGGACATAAGTTCTTTGAGTTGAAAAAGCTATGACACCACCACGGTAAGTCATGTGTCTCCTGTGATTCAATATCTTGGACATTTTTATGAGGATGCCAGTTTCTCTATCCCAACTCAAATATAAAAGCCAGACCCTGGGCTTGGGCCTCATGAATATGCTACTTCTCCTAATGTGGTAGGCAGAAGAATATTCAGACACTCCAGACCTGGCACTCAGAACCTGTGAATGATGTGTCAGATGATAACAGTGGGAATTAAGGCTACAGGTAGGATTAGGGTTAATTGAGATTTTCTGGAATTATCTAGATCATCTTGGTGCTCTATGTAACTACAAAGATCCTTATGTGGAGATAAGCGAGGTAGAAAGGTATGGACCAATGAGTCAAAACAACAAGTAAGATGCCACCTGACATTGCAGCCTCTGGAGATGGCAGAAGGGACTCTGTGTTGAGACAGAGGCAGTTCCTGAGGCAAAAGAGGTGAGGATCTGGATTTCTCCTGGTGCCTGGGCATGGAGGGCAGCTACTCAGTGCCTTTGGTGCAGTGAGAACCCCTTCTGAGCTCTGAAATAGGAACTATGCAGTACTTTGCCACAACAGCCAGGCAAAACCAAGGCATGGGGCTAATTAGCATTCCACTGAGTTTTCTGGAGTCCCCTTTTTCTGAAAATTCAGACAGACCCCACTTGAACTCAACCTCACTCCAACCAACTGAGTAACGTTGGGCAAGGAACTCCCTAAGCTACATCTGCAAGACTGGGCTGTGATGACCAGCGTGGTAGGGGGACTTAATGACATCAAGCTTCTATAACATACAGACTGTATTCCACACGTAACAGGTGCTGAACAATGGATATAAAGGCTCGACTTCAAGCTGGTTAAGGACTGTTTTCACATCACCACTTGTCTGGAGGTACTCTTGAAATTCAATAGGAATGGGGCTAGGGATGTAGCTTAGTTGGTACAGTCCTTGCCTAGAATGCATGAAGCTCCAGGTTCAATCCCCAACACCCACATGGTGGCTCATAAACATCTCTAACTCCAGTTCCAGGTTCACAGTCAAGCACACGGACAAAATACCCACACACATAAAAAAAATTAAAAAGAAATAAATTCAGAGAGAAGGCAACTGTTGTGCCCCAAATCTGAACCCCCAAATCACCAAGAGACCCTATCCGATGCAAGAGCGAAGAGTCTTTTATTGTTTAATGAGTTAACTGCATTTAACACGGTTCCTCCATCTGTCTGACTTAGCGGGTGGGGCAAAAAGGACCCAGAGGAACTGAAGGATAGGGAATTTATTTGGGGTAGAGCAAGGGGAGTGTCTGGGTCCGCAACAGTCTCAGGACTGGTGCACTTTCAAGTTTGGACAACTTGCCCTGTGTTGATTGGTCAACTGGTTGCTATAACGTAAAGGCCCTCCCCGGGCAGTTGTTATGCTCTGCTGGTCACTGTTATCATAAATCACATCCAGATCCTGCTAGCTAACTTGTGATTGGTTCCTTGCCACATGGAGGATATCTGGCTTCCTAGTGAGGGGCAAGGTTGGAAGTTCACACCTTGCTGAGTCAGGGGCCTTTGTCTTGCTGGGTCTTTTCTGCAGCCTGTCATGGCTGCTAAAGCAGGGGGCTGGGTGAGGGTCTGGTCCCTTCACAACCAATTTTTAAAATTATTTTATTGAGATAAGGTCTATGTAGAACAAGCAGCATCAACATCTCTATGTAGCCAAGGGTGACCTTGAACCTCTGCTCTTCTCTACCTTGTGAGTGCAAGAATTAGAGGAATGTTTCACCTTTCACCACGCCCAGCTTATGTGGTGTTGGAGATGGAACCCAGGGATGTGTGTGTACTAGGCAAACAGCATATACCAACTGAGCCACATCCAAGCCCCAAGTAGACAGAAGGCTTAATGCACCACAAGTCCATATGAGTTGCTGCGTGATTCAAGACAGGCTCTTCTGAGATGCTGGAAAGATACAGGGCCCAGAGACACTCTCTTTAGTCTCCTCACACCCAAGATCCCTTCTTCCCACACCTCCCAGGAAGGGTAGTCTCCACTGGCTGGTTCCTTGAGGTGGGGGTGAGACCATACTCCCTGGGGTTGCATTGAGCTTGAAGAAATGCCTCATTGACAGATACTTCGAAGCCTCACACGAAATGTGTGGCATTCCTGGATGGAGAAGGTGGGGTGTTTTACCAATAAAAGGGAAGGCTGCTCTCCTCCAGGATGTGTGTCCTTTGGCATGTCCTTCATGTGACCCTATGTCATCTGGTCTGATAAGGAGTTTTAGAGCTTTTGTTATTGACCCAACTCTTAGACTGTGACTATGGGTTAGTAATTAGGTGCTGCTGATTTTATTGTTATTCCTGCATAGGCATGGGTTCAGTTGTTTTTGTTTCTGTTGGGGTAAGGGTTCAAGGGCAGTCTCGTGAATGGGTTCAAGGTGACTTGTGTCTGGCCAAGGTAAAACTGCCCATGGTGTCTACTTCACCAACCTGACTGAGGGCAAGTGGAAGCAGATACCACGGCATCCACATGGGAGCTGGAGCTGAGGTCCCTGGTATCTGTGGAGGTCCTGGGCTCTTACGCCAAGAAAAAGAAAAAGCTACTGCCACTCAGAAAGACTGACCTGTCTACAGATGCTCTGAGCTGTTATATTGATGGAAAGTGGGTGTTTCCAGAATAGTCTCACTCTCCCCTAAAAGGTGGGCAAGGACTAGTTGAGACCACTTCTGAGATACCGCCTCTTTAAATTTTAAGGGCTTTGTTTCTAAACACAAGACATATCGTGGAAAATATGAGGCTTACTAAAATATTTTCATGTAGCCAGGCGTGGTAGCTCGTGCCTATATTTATCAGCTGCTCATAAAGCTGGGGCGTTGCTTGAGCCTACGAGTATGAGACTACCCTGCCCTGAAAAGAAGGGAGGGGACAGGGGGGAGGGAGGAGGGAGGAGGGAGGGAGGAGGGAGGAGGGAGGGAAGGAGGGAGGGGGAGGAGGGAGGGAGGGAAGGAGGGAGGGAGGGAGGGAGGGAGGGAAGGAGGGAGGAGCGAGGGAAGGAGGGAGGAGGGAGGGAGGGAGTGAGGGAAGGAGGGAGGAGGGAGGGAGCGAGGGAGGGAGGAGGGAGAGAAAGGGCGGACTAGTAATGTATTCCTCCTGTATTTTTTTCTTTCAGGTTTCTTTTTCTTGACATAAATGATTTTGAATGGTCAGTCTACAATACACATACTACATTTTTTCACTGACAATTCTACTGTTGGTCTAGGCCCCACCATGGTGTCTAGGACTGCACATATATAGTATAATAATAATATAACAAGCACATGTTATATAACTTTATATGAATGAGTGTTTTGTCTACGTGTATATCTGTGTACCATCTACATGCCTGGTACCCTTGGATTTCTCCAGGACCGGAGTTATAGCTTGTTGTAAGTCACTGTGTGTGTCCTGGAAACTAAACCTAGGTCCTCTGGAAGAGCAGCCAATACTCTTAGCTGCTGAGCCAACTCTTCAGAGCATCACACATATATAAGTTAGCTGTCTGTTCTTATTGTATCCTCATTATTACAGGATATTGTCAACTATTAAAAGCACTCCCCATAGAGATAAATGCTGCAAGTTCTCATTTGCATGTGGAAGCTAAAAAGTTGACCTCATAGAAACAGAAAAAACCATGGTCACCACCTCCAGGAAGAATGTGGGAAGAAAAGAGAGAGAAGGTGATTGAAGGTGCAGGGTGGGCTAGGGAGATGCCTCAATGGGAAAAGAGCTTGTTGTGCAAGAATAAGGACCAAAGTTCAAATCCCAAGGACTCACATAAAAGCATTAGTGTGTGTCTGTAACTCAGAGAAGGAGATGGGAGACAGAAATAGGAAGCATGTGGCCCAGTTTAGCTGGGCATACCCAGAGGGAAAGAACAACAAAGAGAGACCCTGCCTCAAAACAAGGTGGAGGGCAGGGACTGACTCTTGATGTTGTCCTCTGACCTCCACATCTGTCATGATACTTTTATACTTGCAGGAGGACCACATACACATAGTATACACATAGACATCAAAGAGATAAAAAGGAAAGGCATGAGAAATCTCCATACTGATTTCCAAAGTGGCTGTACGAATTGGCTCTCCCACCAGCAGTGGAGGAGTGTTCCCCTTTCTCCACATCCTCTCCAGCATAAGTGGTCATTGGTGTTCTTGATTTTAGCCATTCTGACAGGAGTAAGATAATATCTCAGAGTTGTTTTGATTTGCATTGCCCTAGTGGCTAAGGATGTTGATCACTTTCTTAAGTGTCTCTCAGCCGTTTTAGACTTCTCTATTGAGAATTCTCTATTTAGTTCTGTACCCCACTTTTAAATTGGATCCTTTTGTGTTTTGGAGACTTGCTTCTTGAGTTCTTTGTAAATTTTGGAGACCAGCCCTCTGTCAGATGTGAGGTTAGTGAATATCTTTACCCATTATGTGGGATGCCTTTTTATCTCGTTGACTGTGCCTTTTGCCTTACAGAAATCTCTCAGTTTCAGGAGGTTCCATTTATTAATTGTCAATCTCAGTGTCTGTGCTACTGGTGTTATGTTCAAGAAGTGGTCTCCTGTACCAATTCATTCAAGGGTACCTCCTACTTTCTCTTCTAAGAGGTTCAGTGTGGCTGGATTTATGTTGATGTCTTTTATCCATTTGGACTTAAGTTTTGTGCATGGCAATAGGCATGGATCTATCTGCAGTCTTCTGCATGCCAATATCCAGTTATGCCAGCACCATTTGTTGAAGATGCTATCTTTTTTCCATTGTATAATTTTTGCTTCTTTGTTGAAAATCAGGTATTTGTAGGTATGTGGGTTAATATCAGGGTGTTCAATTAGTCAGAGGCAGATACCCACACCTAAACACTGAACTGAACTCCTGGAACCCAGTGACAGAGAGGGAGGAGTGATGAGCCAAGGGGTCAAGATGGTGCTGGTGAAACCCACAGAGACAGCGGACCTGACAAGGGGGAGCTCTTGGACCCAAGACTGATGGCTGAGAGGCCAGCATGGGACTGATCCAGACTCTCCTGAATGTGGTATCAGTGAGGAGGCCTTGGCAATCTCTGGGGCCTTGGGTAGTAGATCAGTGTTTACCATGGCATACGATTGAACTTTGGGAGCCCATTCCATATCAAGGGAACCTCTCTCCGTCTGGGCACATTGGGGAGGGCCTAGGCCCTGGCCCAGATGAAGTAACAGACTCTGGAGATCCCCCATGGAGGGCCTCACCCTCCATGGGGAATGGTGTGGGGACTGGGTGGGGGACTTTGGGGGGCTGGTAGAGGGGCAAGGGAGATGAGATGTTAGGAATATTGCCAATTGGATTCTTCCCTCTGTTTTAAGTGTGGCTTTCTTAGCTTTTCATTTGTGATTACTGCTGTCCAGGTAAACATCTTTGAGTGTCTATTGGGCATTTTATTCTTTGAGGATTACCTGTTTGCATCCTTTCAGGAACTTCCTCGGGGTAGTTTTGTGGTTTTTGTTTTGTTTGTTTTTGATAACTTATGAGTTCACTCTTAGGGATAATTACTCTTTGCTTGTCATTTCCCCCCGAAATTATCCTGAAGGTATTTGTTACTTCGCTCTGTTTTCCGTCTATAACTGTAGGTGTCAGTTTTGAGTGTGTGCCAAGTATCAGGTCCTGTAAAAATTTCATCTGAATCGTCTCATTCAGTCCTTGCTGGGAACTTCGAGAGAAGTGCTATTATTATTAACAGATGGAGACATTGAGGCTCAGCTTTTTAAGCCACGTGGCTTGCAGAGGGTGGCACCAGGACTCTGTGAGACCAGGCCTTGCTATCTCCATAACTGAACTCCTCAGATGTTTAGATGTGCCAATAGCAAACCAAGATGGAATCTGAGGGTGACTTTTTCTTTTGGGTGTGCTGTACTGGCAAGTGCCCTCCCGACGGCTGGGGGAGAGCCCAAGGCAGAGACCCTCAGACCCAGTGGCAGGAATCTGCAAGTCATGGCATATGCTTATGGGTGGGACCTGCAGCCATAGACAAATTCTTGCTGAAAACTGACCGTGAGATCCCAGCCATGGGCTCCTTCTGCCAGTGCTTCTCCCAGTGTGCTGCTGTACTGGCTCCTCCTCACTGTGGGTTTGAAGTGGCTCTTTGCTTTCTGGAAGTTGCTTGGGAAGTTAGGTCCCGGAGGCTTGCCTGAGCTAAGCTCAGGGCCCTTTGCTCACTGCCTCCTTAGCATCTTGGCAAACAGCGTAGGCTGGAAAGGATGTGGCCATGGTGCCTGTTCTAAGGTGGGTTTTGGACCAGGTTGTGAGAGAGACTGACTGACATTCCTATGCCCAGCATCTTCCTCTCCCCTATTACCCTGTCCTGAATACTCTCATCTTTTCAACTTCCACATCCATCTCTGCTGAGAAGCTGAGCATGGACAGGATCTCCAGGACAGGACAGGACAGGACAGGACAGGACAGGACAGGACAGGACATGGACAGGACTGGCGGGTTTTGATGGCTTGTGACTTGGAAAGTGTTCAGTGACTAAAACCCATCTGCTACAGTAGCACAGATGATGCCTCACATGAGTGACATGTTCTGTTCCCCATGTGGGCCTCAGAAACCCTCTTCCTAATTCACTAATTCACACCTTGCCTATTTGCAGCCTGGGAGCTACAGTCTGGCAGGACCCCAACTGGCCTGTGCTTCCTCCTCACTTTTCAGGGAGGACTTCTCAAGGTGACCCTTTCGCCCTTCTACCCTGGCCCTCTGAATAGCTCCTTGGTTTCTGAATCTTTATAAATGTCACAAATGGCCACTTTGCTTTCTCCGTTGTTGTGTATGACTCTGGCTATCTGCTGAGCTCCTTACAGGACCCTGTCACAGACCTGTGCCTAGCATGCAGACCCCCACCCTCTGACCTGAGCCTCGGAGTCAGGGGTTTAGGGCTGTGGAGTGAGTGGGGGAGGCAGGAAATACTCACAGTTGGTAGAATAATTGCTTATTCTGCACGAAGCTCTGGGTTTGATCCCTAACCTAGCTTGGTGGCACACACCTGTGCTCCCAGCACTTGGGATGTGGGAGGAGGAGGTGCAGGAGTCATTCTTGGCTACATAGAGAGTTCAAGGTCAGCCTGGGGGTGGAGAGGATTTCATTGCATCCATTTGGAATACTCGCTTAGATACCTTGGCACTGAGGTGTAGTTTTGACCTTCACGGAGGTCCAGTGTGATCCGAGAGACAGGCAGTCCTAAAGAGTAGCGATGCAAGATGCATTTGGGTGATGGCCAGCGCTGTGGGGAGAAAGAGAAGGATGGCGTAGCGGAGGGCGGCGGGCACTGGGGAGCTGGCCCGGGCAGGGACAGGATGGGCACTCGGACAGTGGGAAACGAATGCAGAGTGCTATTGGACTCAGATCACAAGGACATGTTACTCTCTAAGGAACGCTGAGCAGATGGAGGTGTCATGCCTGGGTCAGTTCTGTAAATGTCCTCACTCAGCAGCATATCATGGGGGTGTGGAACACGAAAGGAGTCACCAGGTGCTGGTTGGGATTCTCGTCCCTAACCCCTCTCAGACCTTCACTGTCTTGTTTATCAAAGTCTTAAGAAAACAAATTCCCAGCCCTGTTCCTGGTTGACACTCAGTAGGTCTACGTCAGGCCAGGCCTTTATTGTGTACTCACTCCAGATGAGGATGCCATTATGGCATTGCCCTCAGGGCACCTTGGGTTAGGGGCATGGCTGTGTGTGGCTTCACTATTGAAACCTCCCCTCCATCTCCCTGTCACGCTATCTGCTTTATTTAGACTTGGTTCAAAATATCCTTCAGTAGTTCCTGAAAGCACATGACTTGCTGATCTTCAGAGGAAACACAGTGGTGGGCCACAGACTCAGACCCCACGTCTAGGTCAAAACAGAAGGCTGATGGGTAGACAGTCATGTCCTAGAGTTCTCTGTCCACTTGGCAACGATCCCATGAGGCTTGGTCTCCTGGGATACTAGACCAGGACACTGTTGTCAGCTCCGAGTAACCTAGAGTTAGTGACATTCTAAAAGACATTTCTTGGTGGGTCTTGCCAAGATATTCATTTCAAAGAAAGTCCTGGCTCCTTCACACAGCCTTTCCCGGTGGCCACGTGCCTTCCACAGAAGGGCAGTGTTACACAATGGGTTTTCCAAGCAGACTTAGATCCTGTCACAACCTTACCTAACTGAGGGAAACTGTTTTCGGCATGAGGCCATGGGTCTGTGTGAAGAGACCAGGTGGCATGCGTCTGCTGGGAAATGACTGGGTGCTCTGGAGTGGCTTCCAGGCTCAATGCCATCAACTTTGGAGGTCATGAATAGCTGTGGTGTGGCAGGAACATGGGAGACCTGTGTGTGTGTGTGTGTGTGTGTGTGTGTGTGTAGGTCAGAGGCCAACAGTGAATGTTTTACTCAATTACTTTCCACCCTGTTTTTGAGGTAGGGTATCTCACTGAGTCTGGTGCTCATTCATGTATCTAGACTGACTGGCATTGACCTCCAGGGTTGATCTGCAGGCATAGTCACCGTTTCTGCCTTCCCAATGCTGGTATTATAGGCAAACACCACCATGCCAGGCTTTTATGTAGAGTACTTGGG